GCAGCCTGATGGCGTCGGTGGCGGCGGCGACGGCAAGGTGGAGCAGGGGCTTCGGGCGGCGATGGCGACGAGGAGGAGCAGGGGGCGTCGGGGGAGAAGTGGGGGATTTGGTCGAAAGTGCTAAGTGCTGCTTATATAGCAAAGCCTTTAGTCCCGGTTGGTGGCACAAACCGGGACTAATGCACCCCTTTAGTCCCGGTTGGTGCCACCAACCGGGACCAAAGGCATTTTTTCAGCAGCCCAAAGGGCGGGAAGCATAGGTCTTTGGTCCCGGTTGGTGGCACCAACCGGGACTAAAGGGTGTACCAATGCACCCCCTTTAGTCCCGGTTGGTTCCACCAACCGGGACCAAAGGCCCCAGTGCTGCCCGCGTCGCGGCCAAAGTTTAGTCCCACCTCGCTAGTTGAGAGGGGCGCGCATTGGTTTATAAGCCCCACTGTCGCACCCCTCTCGAGCTCCTCTCCACTACAGGCTTACGGGCCTATTTGCTACTGCTATGCCTCTTGGGCCTTCTGGGCCTACTGCAGGCCTGAATCCTGGCCCATGATTGGTTTCTAGTCGTATTCAGGTCATGGTGGCCCAGTTGGTGGCAATTTTTTTATTTTTTCTAGTTTTTTTGTTTTCTTTTTGCTATTATTTATTTTATTTTGATTCTACTTACAACAAAATAGTTATTTATTTTATTTTATTTTGTTTGTAATTACTTATTAATTTTATTTTATGATAATTCTTTTTGTTATTAAAGTTTATAACAAAAAAAGTTCTTTATGAAAATTCTTTTTGCTTTTAATGATTTTGAACAGAAAATACTTTGATAATTTTAGTTACATCAATTTTATATAATTTTAGTTTCAATAATACTAGAGGTTGCTTATAATGTTTTGAACAGAAAATACTTTGATAATTTTAGTTTCATAAATTTTATTTATGTTATTAAACTTTTTTTTATTTTATTTTGTTTCTACTTATCTATTTTATTAAAGTTTATATTATTTTGTTTCAAGTTACATATTTATTTTATTTTATTTTGTTTCTGACTTCATTTGTTGTTTTTCATGCATTTATTGATTATTTTGAGCTATAAGACCATAAGATTGAAAGGCATTTGAAATGAACTCTGAAAAGGTTCCAAGTTGGCATGGTATCATCATTTCACCCACATAGCATGTGCAAGAAAGTACAGAGGCTTACGGCAAAAACTAGATGCACTTCGTGTACAAAACAGACAATCTCCTTTGAAGTATCAGGGTTTCATACAGAAACTCGTCTGTTACAAAGGGATTTTATTTTTTGAACTTATTTGGACTCCATAGTTTTTCTGTGTTCAAAATGCATCATTCAAAGCCACATCATCAATTTACAACCCTTTCCGACTTAATTTGTTATTTTGCATGCATTTACTGATTTTTTTTGAGCTATAAGACTATGACATTAAAAAGAATTTGAAATGAACTATGAAAAGGTTCCAAGTTGGCATGGTATCATCATTTCACCAACATAGCATGTGCAAGAAAGTAAAGAGGCTTACGGCAAAAATTGGATGCACTTCATGTACAAGACAGACAATTTCCTTCGAAGTATCAGGGTTTCATACGGAAACTCGTCTGTTACAAAGGGATTTCATTTTTTTTAACTTATTTGAACTCCATAGTTTTTCTATGTTCAAAATGCACCATTCAAAGCCACATCATCAATTTGCAACCCTTTTCAACTTCATTTGTTATTTTTCATGCATTTACTGATTATTTTGAGCTACAAGACCACGAAATTTAAAAGCATTTGAAATGAATTCTGAAAAGGTTCTAAGTTGGCATGGTATCATCATTTCACCCACATAGCATGTGCAAGAAAGTAAAGAGGCTTACGGCAAAAACTGGATGCACTTCATGTACAAGACAGACAATTTCCTTCGAAATATCAGGGTTTCATACGGAAACTCGTCTGTTACAAAGGGATTTCATTTTTTTGAACTTATTTGAAGTCCATAGTTTTTCTGTGTTCAAAATGCACCATTCAAAGCCACATCATCAATTTGCAACCCTTTCCGACTTCATTTGTTATTTTTCATGCATTTACTGATTATTTTGAGCTACAAGACCATGAAATTTAAAAGCATTTGAAATGAATTCTGAAAAGGTTCCAAGTTGGCATGGTATCATTATTTCACCCACATAGCATGTGCAAGAAAGTACATAGGCTTACGGCAAAAATTGGATGCACTTCGTGTACAAAACAGATAATCTCCTTCGAAATATCAGGGTTTCATACGAAGACTCGTCTGTTACAAAGGGATTTCAACCACATAGCATATGCAACATATAGCTCTCCGGAGCATCTAATTAAACCATATATTGAAATTATGAAAAACATTTATATGCAAAAACAAATGCGATCATAATCGCAACCAAGGTAACAACTGATCCAACTGCATAATGATACCAAGCCTCGATATGAATGACATATTTTCTAATCTTTCTAATCTTCAACCGCATTGCATCCATCTTGATCTTGTGATCATCGACGACATCCGCAACATGCAACTCCAATATCATCTTCTCCTCCTCAATTTTTATTATTTTTTCCTTCAAGTAATTGTTTTCTTCTTCAACTAAATTTAACCTCTCGACAATAGGGTCGGTTGGAATTTCTGGTTCAACCACCTCCTAGATAAATAAAATCTATGTCACGTTCGTCAGCATAATTTTCATAAACAATAAATGAACCAAATAGTTATCAAAAGATAATATATACCACATCCGAATCATAGACAGGACGAGGGCCGACGGGGGCGGATACCAAAATCATCGCACTGTATAATAACAAGAAATAATAAAAGTAAGAAAATTAGACAATTATCTATCTGAAGTAAGAATTTTTGTTCTTTCAGAAAGAAGATAAGAAAAAGAGGCTTACCACGGTGGTGCCGGCGACGAGATCGGCGCGATCGACGGCGGTGAAGATGGGGACAGGACGTGACGGACCGCTAAACCTAGACAAATCTCAGGGAAAATGGAGCTCGGAGGTCGAGTTTCGAGAGAAGAACGATTAACTAGCGTGGCTCGGATATTTCATCGAACACCTCATGTGCATAGGAGGTGAGCTAGAGCACCCAAATGCCCTCCCCTCGCCGGCCAGAAAAAACAGAGTGCTCTGCCGCGGCGATGGGTATATATAGGCAAACTATTTGTCCCGGTTCGTGGCATGAACCGGGACTAAATCCCTCCCTTCTACACCGGTTCGTGGCACGAACTGGTACCAATGGCTGTGGGCCAGGAGCGCGGCCCATTGGTCCCGGTTCGTGCCTAGAACCGGGACAAATGGGTCCAGATGAACCGGGACCAATGCCCACGAGGCCCCTGCCGGCCTCCTGGGCTCATGAACCGGGTCTAATGCCCCCCATTGGTCCTGGTTCATGAAGAACCGGGACTAATGGGCTGGCCAGGCCCGAACCAAAGCCCTGTTTTCTACTAATGCATAGTTCTTTATCTATCTATGCTATGAACTATGTAAAATATCTTTGTATCTTTTTTATCTATGCTATGAACTACGTATCTTTTTTTATCTGTGAACAAAATATATATGCACTGAGAAAAATGTTTGTGCGAGAATGCGCGCGCTGCAGTTTAGCGCGCCTGCTGGAGCTACGTGTGCGCACTGCAGTTTAGCGCGCCTGCTGGAGCCAGCGCTGCGCGCCACGCCAAACCTGGCGATGGGCGTGACGCATACTAGTTTTTAGCGTGTCACGCGTTGGGTGGCTGTTGGAGATGCTCTTGGCTGACTTAAAAAAACACCTAAGTGCCCGGCGTCTTGTTAGGCAGCGACGCCGAGGATTTAACCAGGAATCACATCCATGCTGGCACAAATGGCTGTGAATTTTATCTCATATTAGTTGACGCTCAAATGGATATATTGAGGGCTATTGAGAATACGAGGGAAAGCCATTGTACAGGAGAACTACCACTCACACATGAATTTCCACTCATTCTCTATCATTGTGGTGGGTAGCCATGGGATGTGTGTAAGAAATTATTTCCATATTCTCATAGCCAGTAATTTTACAAACATGTAGAAGAATTTCACATAATGTACACGCCCAAGAAATAAGAATTTTACGAATTAAAGATTATAAACAAGAAACTAAAACAGCATACGAGAAAGTAATTTCTTTTCAAAAAGATCATTTCAAAAAGATCATTTATAGGAGACGGAACGAAAGGTCGGACTCACTTGATTGAAGCCACTCCCTTTTCATCTTCCTCCCCCGTTCCGGCCGGGGTTGGAGTTCGTGGAGGGCGCTGGCATCGCCCCGTTCCTCATGCCATGGCCGGTGCTGAAGGCACCTCGATCTGCGCCTCCCCTCCTCAGCCTCACGCGCGCGCGTGCAGATGAAACAAGGCAAGGCATCGGCAACGGTCGGTCGCAGCAATTTCCATCGAGTCAATGCAGGTTGCTCTGCTCTTCTTCCTTCAAAATTCTGCGCCTTCTTTGTCCCGTGCTTAGTTGCTTTCACGTGGACTGTCGTCCCCCTCGACCTCGAGTTCCTGATTTATTTCTTATACTGGCTCGGCTCTTGCTTCAATTTCAGATGTAGCAAGGTTACCAGTACGAAATTTCACTAATTACTGCTCTAGTAGTTAACTGAAGATGATCACTCCTCCTTAAAAATTCTGCATCTTTTCATCCCATGCATACGTACCCACTACCTTTCACGTGGACTGTCGACCCCATCGAGTTCCTGATTCATTTTTTATACTGGCCTGGCTCGTACTTCAATTTCAGATCTAGCTAGCTTACTAGCACAAAACTTTACTTATTACTATCAGTTAATTGGAGAGGATCACACGGTCTATGCATACACATTTTCTTTGCTATAAAAGGGTCCATCCATTAACCCACCAGGAACACACACAACCGAACAGCTAGCTTTGCTTGCTCACACAACCTCTCACACATACCACCAACCACCATAGTTAACCCTGCCTGCTGGGGCGCCGGAGGAGATGGAGGCGGCGATCGGCGCAGCGAACGGGCTCATCGGCAGTGTGTTGAATCACCTGTCCAATGAGTTTGTGGAGGCGTTTGTTGCCAGCTCCCAGCTCGGCCTCAACTCGGAGAAGATGAAGGGGGATCTCCTGCTCACGCAGGGGCTGCTGCACGAGGCCCAAAGGAGGGGCGTGAGCGACAACCCTGGTCTCCAGGGGTTGTTGCAGAAGCTCAGCGCCAAGGCCGACCAGGCCGAGGACGCGCTGGATGAGCTCCACTACTTCATCATCCAGGACCAGCTCGACGGCACCCACTACGCGATGGCAGACCTAGGTGATGACATCCGAGGTCATGCTCGCCACGGTCGCCATGCTCTTCGCCACACCGTCGGTAACTGCTTTTCGTGCTTTTCTTGTTCGCGCATGAAAGATGATGATGGTGTTGCTGCTGCTGTCATTACTGACAAGGACAACCCACCCAATGCAATTCTGAACCCTGGTAGTGATGATAATGATGGTCCAGTTGCTAAGTTGCCATTTGACAGAGTTGCCATTTCCAAGAAAATCAAGTCAGTGATAGAGGAAACACAATCCCTTTGTAACCATGTCTCCCATTTGCTCCACATAATTCCTCACCATAGCACCACCACAACAATCACCCAAAGACACCGTATCACAGGGTCGACCATTGTCCAAGATACATTGTATGGGAGGAGAGCTATTTTTGAGAAAAATGTAGGTGATATCCTCACTACTGCCACAGAGCAGTGTGAGCCCCTTTCTGTTCTTCCTATAGTTGGTCCAGGGGGTATTGGAAAGACAACTTTCACCCAACACCTGTATAATGATAAGAGGGTAAAAGAGCACTTTGCTGTTAGGGTTTGGGTATGCGTATCCACTGATTTTGATGAGCTTAGACTCAGCCAGCAGATCCTTAGCAGCATAGATGGAAGCAACTCTCCAAATCAGACAACAAGCTTAGATCAGCTCCAAATATCCATAGCAAAGGGACTCAAGTCAAAAAGATTTTTAATTGTCTTTGATGATATATGGGAATGCAATGGTGAGGGATGGAGAAAATTGTTAGCTCCATTCATGAAGGGGGAAGCCAAGGGTAACATGGTTCTCGTCACAACCCGATTTCCAACAATATCTGAAATGGTGAAAACAGCTAACACAATAACACTGCAAGGTCTGGAGTTTGATGAATTCTTCACATTCTTTAAATCATTAATATTTGAGGGCAACAAACTTGAGTATTACCAAGAGGACTTTGATGATCTTGCAAAAGATATTGCAAATAAATTGAAAGGTTCGCCGTTAGCAGCCAAAACAGTTGGTCGGTTACTGAGGAAGGAATTTTCTCGGGAGCATTGGATGGGAGTTCTTCACAACAATGAGTGGCAAAAACAAAAAAATAGTGATGACATTATGCCATCGTTGAGGATTAGCTATGATCACCTTCCTTTTCATCTAAAAAAATGTTTTTCATTTTTTGCCTTGTTCCCTGAAGATTACTGGTTTAGGAGTTTAGATATTACATATTTTTGGATTGCACTAGGGGTCATAGAAAAAGATGAGAATTATATTGAAGAATTTGTAGGCAATGGTTTTCTTGTGAAGGAAGTAGATCATAACAAGGAAACATACTATGTAATTCATGATTTATTACATGAACTATCTAGAAGTGTTTCATCACCAGAGTGCCTCAACATATGTAGTTCAGGTTTTAAAGCTGGTGACATCCCACAAACTGTTCGACACTTATCCATCACAATGGAAGATAGGTTTGAAGGGAATTTTCGGGTAGAAATGATTAAACTGAGGGCCAAGATAGACATTCGCAATTTACGGGTTTTGATGATTTTTGAAGCACATGGAAACACAATAGATGGAGTTCTGAAAGATATTTTTAAGGAAATAGCGGGTCTCCGTGTCCTATTGATAGTAACAGAATCCATCAATGCTTTGCCACTCAACCTTTCAAAACTTATCCACCTTCGATACCTAAGAGTTGCTAATAAACTACACAATGCCGTGACATGGTCATACTTGATTGATGATGAAGTAATTTTGCCTACCGCACTATCAGGATTTTATCACTTGAAGTTCTTAGACCTCAGAAGCCTGTATCCTAGTGAGAAAATACCTAAAGACTTTAACCGCCTTATCAATTTATGCTTCTTCAATGTTGATTATGAACTCCATTCAAATGTTCCTGGGGTCGGAAAGATGAAATGCTTGCAGGAGCTAAAAGATTTCCGTGTTAAAAAAGAGAGTGTTGGGTTTGAACTGGCAGAGTTGGGGGAACTAACAGAGCTTGGAGGTGAACTGACAATACATAATCTTGAGAAGGTGGTAACCAAGGAAGAGGCTATAGAAGCCAAGCTTGTGTGTAAAAGAAATTTGACAAAGCTGGGGCTAGTTTGGGGTACAGATCACAAACATAACACAGAATCTGATGTTCTTGATGCTCTTCAGCCACACCGTAATCTTGGAGCACTTAGCATTATAAATCATGGTGGTATAACTGGTCCTAGTTGGTTGTGTGGTGAAAATAGCCTCAAAAGGTTGGGGTCTCTCCACCTGGAGGGTGTGTCTTGGGGCACCCTTCCACCTTTTGGCCAGTTATTGCATCTCACGTCACTCACATTGATCAGCATTTCTGTACTTTATGAGATCAGTCCTGACTTTGGTGGTATCACAGATAAAAGCTTTGTGCATTTGAGGAATATCTTTCTCCAGGATTTACCTGGATTTGTCAAGTGGGTTGGGGGGGCTAATGCCCATTCTTTTTCAAGGCTTGAATGCATCAGTTGCCAAGATTGCCCCAATCTGTGTGCGGTGCCCTTCCTGGATTTGTCTGTCTCTTATACCAGTTTGTCAAAATTTTATATTGATGGTTGCCTTGAGTTGTCTCTGCCCCCCATGCCTCACAGCTCCACACTGACACTTTGTCGTCTGAGCCTTACTTCTTCAAAGCTGGATTATTCTGCAGAAGAGATGGTCATTGATGGGTATAGTGGTGAGTTGGCGTTTCATAACCTACATAAGTCCCTAACAAAACTAGATGTCAACAGATGCAACATCACGTGGCATGGACTGCACGACCTCACGTCCCTCGAATCAGTTAGAGTAAGGGATTGTCCCAACTTCTTTCTGTGGCCCATTCAATCAGTTAACACGCACAACCCTTTCCCTGCTTCCCTAAAGACACTTATGATCAAAGGAGAGTCAGGCCTGGAGTCAAAGGCTCTGCTCTCAAACCTCACTTGTCTCACTGATCTACGACTGGTGGACTGTGACAATTTAACAGTGGATGGGTTTAATCCTCTCATCACAGTCAACCTTGATACATTGGTGGTCTATAACACAGATAAGTGTCTTGGCCGCTCTATATCAGCTGATCTGTTCTCGGAATTGGCGGGAGCAAGGACCAACCTATCATTGCCTGCGGGATCCTTCCGATTGCAAACACTTGCAATTGATTGCATTTCAGCAGTGCTTGTTGCTCCCGTCTGCAGTCTCCTCGCCGATACCCTCCACAGTTTATCCATCATGCATGATCAGCGGGCAGAAAGCTTCACGGGAGAGGAAGATGGAGCTCTTCAGCTCCTCACATCCCTTGTGTTCATCAATGTTATTAATTGCCCAAATCTGCCATCCCTTCCTCAGTGGTTATACAGCCTTCCTTCTCTTCGGAAAATACATGTCGGTTATTGTCCTGAAATCCGATCTCTGCCCAAGGGCCCCTTCCCCACTTCACTGAACACACTACACGTAAAAGGTTGCAGTCCCGAGGTACAAGAGCAAATCAAGAAATTAAAGGGAACAATCCCAGGTGTTCGGGTGGATGATTGCTGAGTAACAAAAGGTAACAACACGCCTCCTGCTATCTATCTAGCACGTTTCCCCTTTTTTTCTTATGAGGAAAGGAAATATCTCCCACGATTCTCTACTGTTTTGTACTACTACTAACTACAATAACTTGTTGCAGTAACAAAAACTAATAGCTTGCTAAATCTGACAGGTGCCTTAATTGCCGGCACAGCTGTTCGTTACAACTGCATTGTGTACATAAGTCGTCAAACCTTCACACGTCAGTCAGTCAGTCAATCCATCTGTCGGACGGTTAATTGGTAAAGTGCGTGCAAAACCAACCTGAACTTGTACTCGTTCCGGTGTGCATATTAGTTATACACCGTACAGCTATCTGACCATATATATCTTCGTTTTCTATTTCTACACAGTTGTGGTATCTGTTGTTCTGCCTTGTAGTAGAGCACACTGGTAATTTTGAAGACCAAGAAGACACTATATCGATGTATAGACCTGAAGGTGAATGCATGCTTATATATTTTTCATTCATGGTTAGATACAGTATCATCTGGAAATTGGGTTTGTCTGAGCATTTATGTTGGTTTTCTGACCTTACGTTCTTATTACTACTATGGTTCTGCAGATCAATTAGGGCCGATAGTGGATTTGGCATTCAAGACTCAATTGGTTGCTTCAACCAAACGAAAATAGTAACAAAAGTATCCTCAAGAAGCAGCTGTGTGGTTCTACCATGAACATTTCAAAGGTCAGTCGATCACACTTTCCCTCTCTTTTTTTTCCTCGTTTTTAGTTTAGCATTCTCATCCACACAATGGTTTTGCTCCAGTCTGCAGTTTACACTTGACACTAGCTACCATCCACACAATGGAGTTTTGGAATGATGATCTGGTGGTAGAAAGCTTGACGGAAGCGAAAGAGAAAATGCTTAAAATGCATATGATATGGTGTAAGCAGCACACCTTCTTTGCTCCTTTTTGGTGGCACAATGCAACTATGTTTACTTACACTTATCTGAATATCTCAGTGGTAATTATATGCAATATTGGAACAGGTATTTTATTTTTCATGCTCTTGGTCGTCAGTCCATGGTATCCCCAGCTGCCAACAGCATCTTTTGCAGATTGCATATACCGTGATGTTTCTCTGACGGGCAACCTTGAGAGTTTCAGTTCCTACTTGCCAGTTTCATCAACTGACCAACTCAAAGTAATGAATTAGATCAATGAGTTCCCTTACCTTGGTAATTTTGGGAGTCTTACATTCACTACTTGGATTCTGCAGAACCATAATTATTGGAGTCTTGCACTCATTACTTCGATTCTGCAGAACCATGACTGCCAACCGTCAGTTTTGCTGTTGGAATTCAGAACTTGGTTGTTGCATCCAAACTCTATTAACAGTAATGGAAGCATATGTGTTGCTGTCCTGAAGGAGCTGCACAATTCTTCGTAGAGACCATCTATCAGAAAAGGTCAGTTGGTTAGTTCTTTCCCTTCTTTTAGAAAGGGAAAAACAATAGTACCCTACTAAAGCATTGATTTGTTCCAGGCTATTCACTGATGCGTTCGTTGGCTTCCCTGTGACTGCACATCCCGTGTTTCAGTTTCGCAAGGCTAACAATTTGGGTGGGAAGAGCATCTCATCTTCTGCTATGTTTTACTTGCTGTCTAAATACGGTGCATGCAACACCCTTCTTTTGCTCCACTTTGTTGGTTTAAGCGCAACACCCTTTTTCAGAATATACACTGATGCTAATTAAAACTCGTTTCGCGCAACATTGGAACAGGTTGATTATTGGCTCATACAGTTCGTGCTACCCCGAACAGCCAACTACATCCTCATCCTGTGCGGTTTTGATATATGGTGATGGTTCACTGTCGACCTTCAGAGTTTCAGTTCCAATTTAGCAGGTTCACCTGCTGACCAACGACTGGAAGTAATGACCGAGCAACTATATCCATGATAATGACTTGAAGTCCATTACCTTGTTCATCATTTTCCGAGTCTTAGATACGTTACCCTGTTTCTGCAGAACAATTCATATCCAACAGTGATTTTTTACAAGCTGGTCGGTATTCAGAAGCAACCACGTAGCAGTGAGCCTCTCTGTGTTGGTGTCTCTATGGAGTTTTTCGCAGTTGTGCACAGTCGACCATTTCAGAGGTTACATTTCAAACTGTGGGTGTGGCATGATGCCATGATGGACGACGATTCAGGTTTTTGGCAGTACTGATTCCTTTCATGTATTTTACATGGCAGGCCTGCTCCCCTCCCTGTGGATGAATCAAGAGTGGATAGCAGTGCAGCGCCTCCTCCACTAGCTCCTGCCCCGGCGTCATCTCCTCTGCTCTGACCACAGTTGGCGCTGAGGCCGCACACGTTCCCGGGCCGCTCATCGCCGCCGGCTCACTCCATCTTCCTCCTCCTCCACTTGTCTTATCCTCACTCCCTCATTGTTACTGTGCACGCTACATAGTTTGTTACCTGCAGCTACCTTGTCAAACCCCACCTCCACTTATCTTATTCTCAAAAAAAAAAAAAAGTCGCTCTCTTAGGAATGCCTCTTTTTACACTTCTTAATTCCTCCTCCCACCACTCATCCATGCCAGATCGACCTGCGCGACAACTTGCAGTGTTAACCAATACATAAATCCTTCCCTGCTGTAAACTTACTTAGAAAGGCTGGAGACTGTTAGTGCAGTTCAGTTCCAGCCAGCAAATTCAAGTGTGTTGTAATGTTGCTTCAGACTGGCCGCAGCGAGCTGTGAGGCTTGGAGCATTGCTTGCTCGTTGTTCAGACATGTAATTACTAGTGTTAAGCAGCAGAACAGTACTCTGTTCCCTCTTAAACCGATCGCCCACCCGATTTCTTGCTCATGTCTGTTCCCGGCGATGTGCTCAGCTCTCATTCTCTCACTACAGCACACGCAAAAGCAAGCGAAATAAAATGTGATGCACGGGACGTCCTCCAAAGCATTGCATATCACACGATGCTCAACGGCGAGTTGCACAGTGCTGTGATTTCATTTATAAACTTTTTTTAGAATCATTTCATTTATTAACTGGAAGTAGCATACACATGACTCTCATAGTAGCCCTGATCATCCTCTGGGCTGGGCCAGGTTTCGGGCTGGCTTGACAAAGCCCAAACTCAAAATCCCATGTCCAGCCTGAAACACATGAACAATGCAATTTCACATTTAAAATAATTATTTTAGGGATACTAAAATAATACTCCCTCCGTATCTAAATATTTATCTTTTTAAAGATTTCAAATGGACTACCACATACGGATGTATATAGACATATTTTAGAGTATAGACTCACTCATTTTGCTCTGTATGTAGTCATTTGTTAAAATCTCTAGAAAGACAAATATTTATGAATGGAGGAAATATATTTTTGTACATTTTGGTTTCTTCCCCGAATATGCAAAGCTTGCGTATCACTCCATTGATAGGAGAAGTTAGAACGAGTATAGGGGGTGGTACAAAACATGGCACGGACACAAGAAGCGTGAACATGTGCCCGAAGCAAAGAGACATGAGATACTCGACCCAAACATGGAAAAACACAACTAAACTCACGGACCAGAGAAACCATCCAACCAACAACTAAACGACCAACATCTCCAAAGAGGGCACCGAAGACACCATAAGCAAACAAGAGGCCCCGTGTAGAAGCCCCGTGTCGCTCCCCCGCGGGTGACCCGGGCGCCCGAACCCTAGCGGCAGCCCCCGCCCCCATCCACCTCCCCTCCCGCCGCCGCCGCTGGCGGACGCCGCCGGGCAAAGCCCGCGCGGTGCCGGCGGCGGCGGGCCCTTTCCTTGCCTCCCCTGGAGTGGGGCCGCGGGAGGCTTCTTCTCCAGGCGACGGAGGTGCTCAGCGGCTGGCGCATCGGGCGGGGCGCGCTGGCAGATGGCGGTGTGCGGCGGCGCTGCTGCTGGCCGGGGTCGGCACGTCGCGGTGGCGCGCGCGGGCTGGCGGCAGCCCGACGCTCTTCGTGGCGGGGTTGGCCGGCCAGATCTGCGCTGGCCGGAGGTGGGGAGCGGCGGTTGGAGCTCGG